TTAATATATTAATATACTACAAACACTCAAGAAAACTCACATACACACACGCACACACAAACACATCCACGCACTCACACACACACTACACACACACTCTCACAAAAACACACATACATCTCACACCATTATTACAATCTTTGAACTTGACAGATCGCACATTGACAATTTGTTAATTTTATTGTTTCTCATAGTTTTTGCTATTTTTATAAAATAATTTCATTACATGTAGCTTGTATTAAATAACTTTGTAAATTACTCAAAATGTACTTCTGTGACACTGGAAGGATGCTGGTACTTAAGCTCAAGTTTTCTTTTTTAAGTACCAGCAGTCAAAATACTCTGTGTATATTGTACTTTTTGCTATACTTTTTACCATTTTAATTAGCTATTTAAAGAAAATAAAGAATTATTATTATTATTATATTATTATTATTATTCATATTAATTATTTTAATATTATATTAATTATTCATAATATTTATTCATATCAACGTCACGTTCTCCAAAACTCTCTTTGCAATCCATTAGTGGTCATAATTATGTTGCGATCTAAATCCAAACTTTAACTGCCTTTGTGACCGAACGATTACCATGCTGGACTGTCACGCAGAGGTCCTGGGTTTGAATATATATATTTTATTTTAAATTATTGTGAAGTAATTGTTCCATTAAAAAAGCAATTAGAAAGAAACCGCTGTCCATTGCTTTTATATGATCACATCACCTTAGTAAGTTTATGGAGATTCCACCAACAACCTACTTACCGTGTACTTGTATATAGGTACATATCAACCACTTTCCATTGTAGCAAATGACAATATACAAATTCCGGTGACGCCCATGTACTGTTAGTGATCGTACGCACTTGTGGTATAAAATGAGATGGTATAACGGAATTTGATTTGACTTTTTAGAAACTTCGTGATAATAAGTGTGTTTAATTTTGTGTATTTTTTATTAATAAGTACAAGTTTTATGTCAATAGCACTTTTATACCGACACTCGTCCTATAGGCGTCCTTTACGGTTTTGGTGAAATTATTGAATTTTTTAAATTTTTTTTTTAATGGATCAAAATACAGCTGCGCGTTAGATACACCATCTGGCTCTAGGACAAGAGACGGGATAATTTTCTACTACAATAATGTACTTAATTTCGATTTTAAAATTGTAATCGAACTAGAGTTCGACTCACAATTTCCCCTTTTTATGGTAAGATGTAAAAAAATATTTTTGCCAAGATGAGCCCGGGATGTTGGCAACTGACTGGAGCAGGGGCAGTGGCGCTGGCAACGACGAATAATTAAAACCTTCGTCGTTGTCAGCGCACCGTCTGAGGATTGTATTTTTATGTATTTCAGTAATTTCTGGTTAAGTATAACTAACTGCCTCTGTTGCCGAAAAGTTACCGTGCCGGACTGCCACACAGAGACCCCAGGTTCGATTCTCGGACCGGGAGAAATATTTGTATGGCCTACATTTATTTCTCTCGTGAGTTTGGGTGTAATTTGTGCTTGTCTATGTGTGCGTCTAAGGCACCCTCGATACAGGGGTTTATACGTAGGATTTAGTCTTTGCGCGGCATAATGCGCTTATATAATAATGAAATTGTTTTTTCGTATCTGAAATCGCATTATTTGATTTTTTTAACATACCAACATATCGGGCTCTTTACAGGTCCTACGAACAAAATTGCAACTTAGGTTTCATTAGTATTACGACGTCACCACACCTATTGAAGTGGAACCGCTTTAAGCTGGTCAGAAAAAGCTATAAATCTACACAATAACAATGAAACAAAGGCTTTTCGGCCTTGTTATACGGACATAAAGATTTTTCTGACCGTCTCAATCTCAATTCGATTTTGAGTGAGAAAGTGTGGTGTCTCTCTAATAGGAAACAAATTATGGGAACCCGTCAAATAAGCCGAAACACGTTTCTCCATCTTCATTATTAACATATAGGTACATTCTTGCTTATTTTTAGGTTTGTTTTTTATGATACCAAGTGATGGGACGAACAAGTCGTGCGCCTGTTGGTAAGCGACACGCCTGTCCATACTCACAAAGATCTGAGGGGACCTTTGCCCGTCACCCTGATACATAAGTTGGCAAGTTCCATGTACCTTCAATTTCGCCTACACCTTTACCCTTCAAAAGCGAAACACAGTAATGGTTATATTTATGTCTAGGCGGTAGAAATACGTAAGGTGGTAGTACTTCACATGGAGCTCTACTGCTACTAAATCTTGATACTTCTCAATTCTTGATACTTGAACAGCGAACTTTCCCCAGAGTCATTATTTTCAAAGGAAAAAATACACTAATCAACCGCGTATAAGTTTCTACTACTACCACGTAGCTATTTCGTAATTTCATTGTAATACGGAAGTTTTTCTTCCGCAACCGCACAGATACCGCTAGTACGTACGTAAACCCTCTAAAGAAGAAAGTGACATATTGCATGATGTAAATATTTCTTGAATTGTCAACTACGGTATGTATTTTGTATGACTCAGCCTTATTGTGTGGTCTCGCATGGAGGACAAAATGTCAAACGAATGGTTATTGATTATTGTTGATGTATAGAAAATAAAACTTTGTTTTGGCGAACACGGTTTTGTGCTTTTCACTCTAGTGCAAAACTATAAATAAAGCGTGTTGAATTTCTACAAAAATTATTGTCACGTAGCAGATGCATCGCGCTCTTTAGTATTATTGCAATTGTTAAAGAAAATCTCCTACAATCCAACTGGACACGGACCAGCGTCTGTTGCCTCGACGTGGCTATCTCTCTTACCCAGATTACAGTAGCAGTAGCGACTGCCACTTTACCTATTTCTGCCATCAAGCAGTAATGTAAGGATTACTACGTTCCGGTTTTGAACGGTAAAGAGGTTAGTGAAATTACAGGTGCAGTAGCAGTACCCTTCAAATCTTTGCGTTTTAAAGCTCTGAGCGGTACTGCAACTGTTATGGACAGGCGTGTCGCTTACCATCAAACGCACAACTTGTCCGTCTCCTCACACAAAAAATTGTATATAAATAATTGTAATAAAAATCAAATCATGACATTCAATATAAAAAGTATTGGAATTTTTGGTTCCGTTGCTTTTTCGAATTGATATATTTTTTTGTATCACCAATTTGACATCTCTTCTATTCAAATGTGGAAGTACCCTGTGGTAGCCTTTCTTGAGAGTACCACAGGGTACGAGCCTAGGGCCGAAAATGAGCCTTTTGCTCTCAAAGAGTGATATTTTGAGGTATTATGGACAAAGTTTTGAAATTATGAGATTGTAAGTAATTCAGATGTCCCAACTTCATAGCATAATGCCCCTATTAATGTGAGTATTTAACAAAATGTATCACTTTATCTGAATTATCAACTACACCTCTGTTACTAGTATTGTGGTTCATAAGAACACTTAAGTGTAGAGTGCAGAACGTTACTTTCTTTTTTTTTATTCGCAGTTATCTTGTATGACTTTGTAATTATAATTATTGTTATATACTTACTATATATGGTAACATTTTGTTAGTGTCCCTTAGAACGTAATAATAGCCAACAATACGGACAACTTTTCTGTGCGCACTTTTGTCAATTTGCGGATAATAATCATCTTTTCCTTAGGTGTGAATTACGAATTACATGAATGAGTAAAGTTGTGAGATCCACAATTTTCACAAAATTCCTTAAAGTAAAAGTTGTTCATATTGATGAATGAGAGCGGAGAAAATAACAAAAAGCAGGAAAAGATCCCAGTTCAACAGTGGAAGGTATCGGGCAGATGGTTATAATGATTACATTACGATTTACAAATCAATACAATCTTTTATTAGCTTCAACTCTATCCTTAGACATTTTTATTGTCACATGCAATTTGAAAAAAGACTCAATTAATTTACTTATTAATTACTTTCAGTTTCAGTAAGTAGAGTAATTTACTCTATTGCGTTATAACATTCATAACTTTTTTTTAGAAAGGATGAAAAATAATAATTATTGATTACTTAGAGGTAGTTGCCTAATGGCTTAATCTATCGCCTCTTAAACACAGGGTCGTGAGTTCGAATCCGGGCTTGCACGTCTGAGTGTTTCCGAATTTATGTGCGAAATTTAATTTGAAATTTGCCATGAGTTTTTCGGTGACGAAAAACACCGTGCGGAAACTTGCACACATCTTCAAAGTATGTGTGTGTGAGTGATGTGTGTGACGTTCCCAAACCGCATTGGGCACGTGCGGAGACTACAAAACCCTCTCATTGTGTGAGGATGTCTGTACCCAGCAGTGGGACAACTTACAGTCTAACTATTATTGTACATATATGTAATAGGTAATAATTTTAACGACATGATTACGTATGTATTCAAGTATTCATGAGTGTCATTACGTACTTATTACATATGTATATGCTTGTAATATTTATAGGGGTGGAAGCAAATTCAGATAAGGAAAAAATTGGACTCTATAAAAAGATTCTTCGATTATGTAACTTAAAAAAAGTTAATTACTGATCGTTGTTCTATTTGTAATATTTCGTTCATTAATTTTATAATTTTGAATAATGTGACAATAACAATAATTAAATGTAACGGTACATTAAGTGTTAAAATGAAAACAATACATCAATATTTTTAGTTCTTTATTTGTACGAATCGTCGGCGTCGTTTAAATACGTCATAAGAAAAATATGACAAACAAATATAAATGATGAAAGATAAACAATAATAAACGCAGGTGGGAAGTAAACGACTAAACTAAAAAAATACATAAAGCTCATAACCGCAATATAACCCAATATATACAAAGGCTATATACAACCAAAAAATGTACATGAGTTTGTAAATATTTTTATAAATATAACAAAAAAAAAACAAATCTTGTGTGATATAATACACAATAAAAAATATAAATAATTATCACAGAAATATAATCATAAGATATATAAAATAAAATATTTACTTAAAATATAAAACTAAAATAAAAAATAAGAAGACTTATCAAAGGGACTAGAATCATAATAACATATACATATATACACATACTATAGCAACGACTAATAGAGGATATTGTATAAAACAATACACAAATACGGATTCCGTATGGTGTGAAATATATACTAATATAGTACAACTAGAAGATCATACAAATTCAGAACAGATTTATGGAAAACAAAAAACGTAAAAACAATCTCGCTCGGTATTTCCAATCCCTTACGAAGGGATTTCATTCAATAAATAGTTAATTAATATTTGTTATGGCTAACAATAAATAATTGTACACATTTAAAATCTCGATATTGACTATTTTGTTGAGTGTAAACGGACATGGAGTCAAATGCGATCCCTGTGGTACACCCTTCGAGATTTATAGTTTAATCAGACTTCGCATGGGCAGCGTAGGCCAGATTTTGAGCGTCTTCAATTGCCCTTCCCCAGCCGTGACCGCTGCTTTGATAGTGTTCGTCATGATGAGGATGGGCAACAACCTCGTAGCTGGTTTCGTGATGCTTGTGAGCCAGAAGCTTTTTCAGAGCTATGATACCGGCGACCAGAAGGGAAACCTAGAAATGACAAATCGACGTATTTTTATGGTTAGCAATTTATGACAGAAAGACTGTCTAAGCAAATTGTTGTTGAAACTGAGATGTGAGAAAGTCTAAGTAAACTGTCAATATAAAAAAACAAGACAATGATAATTATGGAAACTAGTCAAGCACATTATTTACTGGCAAAAGTGTTAACATTGTTCTTTTAGATCTCTTTCTTTGATAAATTGGCGCATATATTATTGATTGAGGCTTATAGCTTGGCTTGAGGGTTGATTAAAGCATTATGTTTGATATATAGAATACTAACTAACATTGGTTATCTAAAGAATATTTCAAATAGTCATTAACTGTATGCATATCAATGTTATACCACAAAAATACGAGTTCATTTATAGTTCACATTACCTTGGCAAGAAGGACGGCCTTGGCGGCAGCGAAAGCAATGATGCCGAGGAACAGAGGAATGAGAGCCATAATCTTCAGCTTGGCGATGGCAAGAAGAGGGATCAGCTGCTTAAGCTTCTTTTTCTTGCCACGGGCTGAAATGAAGAAAATGTTAAAATGATAAGTTTGTTCCTAAAACACAAAAAACTATATGAAAACATATATACGCTAAATATATACGCTAAAACTATACTAAGTATTCTAATATAACCTATAACTTCTGTTTCAAAAATAGCTTGTTTTATATATATAATAATGCCTAATACCCTTCCGGCAACCATCAATCAATAGTATCAACAAAAAATTGCCTTTGCTATAACAATTTCATAGATGAATCAAGCCTTGAGGTCAATAGCAGGTTATGTAAATAAAACTAAATATGCTTGTTCAAGTTCAACTTGATTGAGTAATCAACAATGTAAGTTTTTTCTTTAGACGTAACTGTTTTGTCACGCGCTACGCATTATATCATATCATTATGTCATTAGACATGCTACCGAATTACTTTATAGTCCATATTAAATGTCATAACTTTATTTAGTGCCGTTTATGTCCTCGTTTATCTTATGGCTTTTAATAAATGTTATTAATTAAAAGTCTTTATAAATAGTATTACTGATACTATTTTTCATTTTCTTTGTAAACAGGTTAGATTTCCTTTTTTTATTTGTAATCTGTGTTGTTGTGGTGTGAGTCTCTATCATAATTTCAAATGTAAGTTTTAATTTAGCTAAATTACAGTCAAGTTTTGACACGACAGGTGTATGTATACTCTTGTCTATGTTTGTAGTATTATCTATCCAATTTCTTACTTTTGCTCTTTACTCTGTTTGCTCTACAATATGCTGAGCTATAAGTGTTATTTGAATTCTGCATGTCATAATTCCAAATTTGAATACTTTCAAATATTCTCTTTTTAATGTTGGTTGCGTGGGAACAGGATTGTATATGAATGTTTTTTTTATAACATCCAGAGGCGGAATGGACACGTCTTGCACCTGATGGTAAGCTACACGACTGTCCATAACAGTTGCAGTGCCACTCAGAGCTTTAAATCGCAAAGATCTGAGAGACACTGCCACTGCGCCCGTCACCCTGAGACGTAAATTAACACGTTCCATGTGCCTGTAATTTCACCAGCACCCTTAATCTTCAAAACCCGAAACACAGTAATGATGACATTAAAGAAATAGGTAAGGTAAGGTAAGGTAGTACTTCCCTAGACGAACTCTTCCTTAATGAGGTCTACTGCTACTAATTTACTACTTATGTATTATACTTACTATGTTTTTTATTCGTCGTTTAAGAATTAGCTAATATCTTGATTTCTATTTTGTTATTTGTCCACAATATAGGTGGTTACATAGGTATGTAAGAACCTGGAGAAGTGAAGTATACGATTAAAACCTACCCTTCACTCTTGTTAGAATCACAACCGAATGATATCAATGATGGCTTCATTCAAATTTACATTCCGGAGCGCCATTAAAATTTTCATAACAATAATGCAAGTAAAGCATGTAGACCCGTTATCTACTCAGGTAATCCAAATATTTAGAACGACTCTACTTAAGCCACTCTACACATAGATGGTAATTTCCATGTCAATTCATAGTACATTGACCCTATAACATTATAATGGTTTTTTCTTTATGTCGCTGCAAAAATTTGGCTACCTAATTATTATACCTTATAATTATATCAAACGTAAAATAAGTCACTTATTTAGAGTTACCATTTATAGGCATATGATCATAATTATTTGGTGGGAAAGGCAATTACGACAACTTTCTTTGGTGCCTCTTTGGGAGTGGCGGTGGTTCGATTTCACGATGACTTGTCTCGAATGGTGTAAACTGGTTTCGTCATAAAAGTTCAAGAAGAACAGGGTTGTCAACTCCGGAAATGGCTATGTTGATAAAACGAGTCAATCCTGTCTTAAATGGATTTTCTTGATTTTCTCTGGATTTCTATTCCTGCGTATATGTTGACAAATCTAATTATATTTCCTGACTTAGTTGCTACAAAAAAAATGCAACAGTAACATAGCGAGCCATATTTAGTGATAAACTATTCAAAGAAATGTTTGTTATTCTTTTAATAATTATTAAGCAACTTACATTAATTACATAGTTTAAACATAAGAACAGACACTTGTAAACTAAGTTTTATTCATTAACAAAATTGATATGATAAAAAATATCAACTTTATGTGTGGCAACCCTGTTAAGGACCCGGGTGCAAGTTCTCTAAAGACTATCCCTGGAATGTAGAGCCACTTTCATGACCCAGCGAATGACAAGTGTCCGCTTTTATGTTCAAACACGTACTTGTACACTTGCTGCAATACTAGAGTCGTGATATACGGTGATATATGAGCAAAGAAATGGCACTGAGTAAATGCATTTCTTGTGGAACTTGCGCAACTAAAAAGCATTTAAGTGCATGCTAATTTGAAATAATGCTAGAAAAGTCAATTGAAATGATGCGAATTTACGCAAAGAAAATGTAGAGATATGTTGATAATAAGATGAATAGTGAATCATATTCGATTAACAAATTAAAGTATATGGAAATGAACCAATCTCATTAGGATAGAAAAAAATAAGTACGAAGGTTTTAAAAGCTAGATATAATTGCTTGTAAAATAGACAATGAGAGACCATGGCTATTCCGTTTCACGAACAATGAATCAAACATCCTCAAACCATCACCTTAGGCACTGTCCAATAAACTAACACAAATCAATCTATACCCGTAAGACGCATTTATCTCTGTCAAAGGCTATAAATTAGAAAGGGACAAGAACACTCGTTACGGTGCGAATGCAGTCCTTGATTGCAAGTTCAAGCTTACACGTTTTACCGTTGCAAATGCTAATAGGCTTAGTCAAGACGTAAACAAGTCTATATGAAGAGATAGCGATGGTTGCGTGTACATTGATCCGTGAAAACTTGTCGAGTTTTGAGGTCATTAAGACTTGAAATTCTTTAGAAACAACAGATGTTTTGAAGACTATATCTATTTCTGTTTAAATAATAGAGGTCGATTTTGATAATGTTTTGAATTAAACGATCAGGCAGTAAATTTTGATAGACATATTGCATTGATATAATTGTTTGAAAGAAATGTAATGTTTAGAAGATTATTACGTATAATATATGTACATATATTTTATGAATTCAAGTGTATTTGTTGATGCGTTCAAATAGGAATATCGGCACGCTAAGGCTAACTTAGAAAGCTGCAGTAAATATATGAATGCATAATGCAACAGCTAAGCTAGTGATAATGGTAAAGGATGTTGACGTCCACCAATTTGGAGAAAGCAATACTGAAATTATGAGAGAAAGTCGAACAGGACAGCTTAATACCAACATAAATGACCTAAATAAGGACATGAATATAAATAATAAATGACGTTAAAAAGTAAAAGCTTTTATTTATATTATATCTTTTAGAATTTTATTCAACGTAAGCAATTGTTTAACCAATATGTATTGGTTGAACATTGTTATACTCTATTTATTTAATATTGAATTCAACTAGGTGGTGAATAGAGAAGATTGAATCATCATGTATTCTAAGTGTTACAACTCTTTTACTTTTTGTAGGCGTTACAGAGTAATTCCTTTTTAATGTATTGAACACTTTTTATTTAATTACACTTGTTAGATCATATTTAATAACTGTGTTAGCGTATTATTAAACATTTATCATTTTCATGGTTTTACGTAATATTGTTTTTTTACTTTCGTATTTAGTATCGTTTAGGATAACAATGTCAAAAACCAACGGACCTTACGAATTTTTCTATGTGATTGATGCAGATCTTTGTCTTTGGTTTTTAACGACTTTTTTGCTTAGTTTAGTTGGCATAGCGTCTAGCACGGTTTGTTCGAAAACTCTGGTTCAAATCTAGCCAGATTAAAGGATTTTTTCTAAGTGTTAGATCCTTGTATTATTTAATAATTTGATTTTTTTTACATAGCCCCACACTAGGGGAACCCTGTGTCGCGGGTGCCATGGACACACACATAGACCACCACGAATTAACAAATTACACCCAAACTCACGAGAGTAATAAATGTAGGCCATACAAATATTTTTCCTGACCTAGGATTCGAACCTGGGACCTCTGCGTGACAGTTGAATTATAATATAATAAAAAAACTAGTGGAGTAATTCCACAATAAAATATTGGAATATCAAGGTAAAACATCGAAACATTCAATGAAAACTTAATAATATGAAATGGCATTAGCTAGTATTTATATATAATTTATAGATTTTTTTACAAAATTTTAAAACTGAAGTTTGTGAAGAAAGCTTTTTCGACTAATTAATATAATCCGTATTACATGAAAAAATATTTTAATAAATAATTTATTACACAAGTTTCGAAATCGAAAGTTTTTTTATAACATATTCGTGAGATACTAATTGGCAAGCTTTCCCAACTGCATGATTTTTAGTTAAAGTTAATTTTACCGTTTTGACAGTTACTTCTTCACTGTTTACAACTTAGTGTATTTTATTATAGAGAGTTTTGTGTCATTACCAATGACACGGATGATTTTGTGTTAAAGGCAAATAATAAAAAGCTTTTACGTATGATTATATTCATATTTACATTAAAAAAATCAATTTTATGTTTAGTAGGAAAGCTTTTTTCATTTATTTCATTATTTTCAAGTTCGTCATTTCCGTCAAATTCTTATTCAGTAGTAGTTACTAGTTTGTAGTTATGCCTACCCCGATTCTAAGCATGTTTTTTAACACATTAGTATTCAACTCCGGCTTAGTTGTTGCAGTTATACAGTAGCTGTTTCGTTTGAACTTGTTTTTTGAACTTACAAGTATTGAAGTTATAACGAGACTTGTTTTGTTTTGTATGTAGATTTAGGATTCTTTGATTGAAAATTTAAACGAAATGATGTGATTTACTTTTCATTTAGAATATTTAGGTAGGGTTAGGATTACGTTCATTTACTAATACTGACTATTGTTTAAATTGCATCAAATCTTATGATCATAGTAATAGTCTACTATATTTTTTTGCATAAATCAAAGTTCATAACTAAATTGCAATTGTTTTATACATACCTTCTTCAAGGGACCGCTTCATGCCTTCGACAGCCGAAGATGGCAGTCTGAACTGGATTACATGGTTCTCCAGGAAGTCAGCAGCAGAGTCCACCAGTCTGGCCTCCACAGACGCTTCCCTAGCCTTGGGCTCTTCAGGCAAAGGCTCCAGTGCCCTAGCGGACCTAGGAGACCCGTTACCCAAAAGAGTGACTCCGTCAGTCAAAGTCATCTCCCGCGCAGAAGACAAACTCTCCACATACTTCAATGCCTTCTCCTGCAACCAAAAAATTGTAATGAATAAAGGAACTAAGGCACTTCACAATCACAACACTTCACTTCACAAATCCAACCTTCAAGCACAAAGACACGTCTCCTTCAGAGCACTCCTTGACCACGCCGAGGACACTGCCCATCAGCCCAGGATCATTCGCCTCCTTGTCGAGGGCAGGCATGGCCCGCGCCGTCGCGACCAAAAATAGGGCAAGTACGTAACCCCTCATTGCGTCTACCCTAACTACCCTTACAGAAAGTTTAGCACAAAGTGTAGCGTCGGTGTATAAGACGCACTGTTTTAAGGCTCTCACCCCACTCCCAGAACCGATCGCCCGACCAAGAAAAGTGAGCCTAAAGGCGGCCGATTAAACTGGTATACTCGACTAAATTATTTTATGTTAATACGAGCTGTCGTGCGTACGCACGTTTTTGGGGTTCATTCACACGGTCTTTAAATGTGGATGTAGACGTCTATGTGTGAGGTACAGGCAACCACAATAAAGTAATGTGAAGTACTGCTGCGGTTCAGTAGGTGAGTCGGTAGTGCAGATGCGTCGTGCGTAGAGAAACGTACGGTGATTCAGCTCAATTGATACTTGCGTGAGCCAATTACAGGTGTTAGTTTAATTTAGATCGAATTTGTAAATCTGATTATTTAAATTTCTTTATTTTTTTACTAACTTTTTCTTTTTTACTCACATCGTGAAGGTCGATCGAATTTTATGGTGCAGAATGGAACGCTTAGAAACATTTTGAAAAAGTTCTTTGATATAATTTCCCTAATGTACAAGGGTAACAAAACTAAGTAGCGAACATTACATTTCTCAACATAAAGATTAAAAAGTACGTAAAGTTTTCACAATACAGAAGATCAATAGTATAATCTCCCATACATTGTTCTTCAATAACCTTATATTATTGTAAGTTTCCTTTCTCACAGTGTTCCCAAGTGCTTTGCTACACAGCAAAGGTACACACCTGTATAGGCCCTGTGTACCCGTATTTATAACTAACCGTATAAATATTCCACTGCAGATCCTAGATCTCTCCCAATTACGTATCAGGTTAGTTCTCATTTTTGACTCAATAAAAACTGTTGTAAAATATAAGTAATATTGGAGTATTACTTTACGTAAGTATTTCTAAAATTTTATTTAGAACGTTTTACATAATTTTTATAAAGGTAAAGTCCAAATTTAATAAGCTGGTAAACGGCGCTGCCTCTTCTGAATCTTCTGAATATGATTATGTCCCTTATTAGTTAATACTATATTAGTCTAACACATTTAAGGGAAAATATTGGGTGAGTGACCATGAGAAAAATACAGTACACATATCAAATAGATTCAGAGTACAACAAAATGATAACACATTGTTCTCTTATTACGACAAACAATAGTAGTACGATAAGAGTCGATCTCGTTACACTTTCCTTTTTTAAACCAAGCCCTCATTACGCTTTTTATAATGTATTTATTTTGGTGAAAGGTGATTTTATGAAATTTTTTTTTTTGGTTCTTGACTTAATAAAACAACTTACTTAATAAAAAAACTTTCGCTGATTGTAATTAAATTAAAATAATGCATTTTTTAATGTTATTATTTTTTCTGCTAAGAAACAATGTAATTAAAATTCCATTTGCACTTGAAAGCTTTTTAAATAAACCTTTTAAAACAAAATATAATTTTTTACACACAAGAATACAAAAATCATTACAAAAATATCTAGAAAGTCATTATACTATTAAACCAGTTTTGACAGGAGTATGTTTAGCAATTCAAAACACTGTTTTTGCATTTATTAAGAGAAATCATAGCTTGTGTTGTATGTTTTCCTGTGTTATGTGTTTATCTTACATAGCTAGACAATATTTATAATGAAATTCAGTTTGACTGTTTTTGAACGCCCTTTTAAACTTTAATTCAAAAAAAAATAATAAAGATTTTGCTTTGGCATGAATTCACAAAGTCATTAATTTAAAAAAGTTAATTACTTACATAGTTTGATTTTTAGCAACTTTGTTTTCCCAAAAAATTATAAAGCTTTCCGATATTTTCTTTCACTATTAAAACAAAGTGACAATTGTCATTAGAAAATTGAAAATCATAATTAGTCGCCTGTTGTGTTTTTTGTTAAGTATGAATCTTCGAAGAGTTAAAAAGTGTCAAAACCAATCATGCGTAGTACTAGATCCGCGAGACGACCGACCGGACGACATCACATAACGACTATTTACTGCATCATTACGTTGGAAAACGAAACCTATCAGAGGTCAATTTCTAGTCGATTGACATACTGGCGTTGTAGGAAGTCCGCTACGAATGTGTCATTTACGACAATTCCATATAGAAGTATCTAGATCCATTTGAATAAAATTGTGAACATCGAAATAGCACATTTTAATAAAATTGTAAATTTAAAACAAAATTGTATTTGTAGACATACAATTTTATCAACATAAAATATTGGCCATCTTGCTATAAAAACCGATAAATCCAATAAACTTCGATTCTAATCGACGACAGCGGTGACCCAACGGTTGATACTGTGGGTGCTGTGGGTCCAGGGTGCAATACCCGATAGGACCAATTTGGGAAATGAACTTCTCTAAAGTGGTTCTAGTCTGGATGTTCTGGGACTTGCCCCAGATTGAGTTCCGTTGCTCTGATACTCATAGTACAGGGATTCCCTACTTGGAGACCAGGCAATTAGTGTGGTTGTCTGACACATGAAGATCAGTTGAGCCTTTAAAAGAATTCTGTTCTCATTGGATTAGTCGCTTTGTGTCCAGATCCGTGGAATGTATTTTTAATTTAGCGGTTGAGATTGGATAAATTATTCATAGAAACGTACAAAAACTACTGTTTTGGTTTTAAAAGTAAAAATGTGACGTATCGGTGTTTGGTCCGAGGCTCTTCATTATCAGGGATCTAATTATAGAAGATTTATTCGTCGCCGAGTGGTTACAATACTCTAGTTGTAATATAGGTTTTCAGACACCTTACCTAATATATCAGCATAGAATAGATACGTAGCCTAAGCGTTATAATTTTCTTGTATCGTATTCCATTGTCGTTTTTCTTGAATAGAGTCGCTATTATTCTTCTTTTCTTTGTGGATGACTAATATGTATTTATATTACTTACGCATCATTCGCTTATTTATAATTATTATCGTATTGGTTGTCGTATTTTTTGTACACATAGAAAGTAATTATAAATATTAAAAAATAGGGTTTTGTAAGGAGTTCGAAAAACTTTTTTTAATATTATTTACGTATTGCACAGGAAAAAGCACAGGTCACATTTAATAAAAGGAAAACACAAACAAAAGCTACAGCTTATTTATAAAAGAAATTTCTTCCTGCAGAACTAAAAACAGGACAAAATAACTGCAATAAAAGGCTTACGTGCACAAAAAGCAAAATATAATACAATATTAATAACATTAAACTATTATAAACTAGATTAGTATTTAGATAAATATATATATTTCATAATATAATAACTAAAAAATGGATGGAACAGCAGATAAATAATGCTTCTTAACCCTCAAGTAGCTAACGATGTAATTTCGTGAACAGAAATAGGAAGTGCATTCCAAAGTCTAGCTGCATGAACAGTGAAGGAGTGAGAATAAAAACCGGAATTGAAGGAAGGGAAAGATAACTGGGACCTAACGAAAGAGCGACAGGGTTTGTCCTGAGACCTGAGAAAGCTGAAATGCACTTTCAGATAATCGGAAGACGAAGGGTTATAAAGAATATTGTAGAGAACAATTTTTTTGGGGTATACTTTTGAGGATTTCCCTTTATGCATCGGAATGATTTTGATAATGGTGACAAAGTGTGATGGTGGTAATGGTACAACTAATATTTTTAACATTATTTTACGGTTTTGTTATTTTATTATTAAGGGTCGATACTACCTTAGCTCGAAATCTAATTTTTCCCACACTGAATCCGTTCCTGGAGACCTATAGCACAGGGTATCCTAGTTTAGGCTCCAGCCTTCACAGACAACAAATGTTTTATTACTAAAGAATGTTTTATTATCTTTGAAATTGTGTGTAAAGGAAATTATTATTATTATTATTATTGCGCGGGTCAAACAGCAGGGACACTGGCCTTATTTCAGAATTTGTTTCTTTACAAACGAAATTAAAGCCATTTGAAAAACGTATGTCGTACACTATGTGCTATTTAGTTCAGTTGATATTTAAAAAATCATTGGTATATACAAAGTACCTATTAAACAGCGCTTTCCTTGCAAAATTTCGAGGTAGGTTTGTATTTTTTTTCTATCGTGAAAATTTTTAGGAATCGTGCTTTCAAACCGTATACTAATCAGGGCATGTCATCAATGTCCAAAGTGATTGATTCAACATTTTCACTGTTATACGGAATCAACCAACGCCATTTAAGGTTGTATTGATCCTTAATAGCTTCAGTGTAACAATAAAAAATTGATAAATTAGTTTAATCCTGTGTACATTTGTAGTGTGCGCAGGAACTTTTCAATTTGGTTCCGCCCTCACCGTTCCTCCTTCGGTCGACTAGAAGGTCCGGAGCACTCCGTTCTTATGTCGTTGATATTCCACCTATTCGCACTAAGCGCTTTGCCTCCTCCTTTCTGATGCGTACGGCAAAGGAATGGAATGCTCTACCGGCATCTGTATTTCCCGAAAAGTACAATTTAGGGCTATTCAAGGCTAGAATGAATAGGCATTTTTTAGGCAAACGCGTCCCATCGTCGGTCACATCGTCGCTTAACATCAGGTGAGATTGTGGCCAAGCGTGTGTCTATTATATATTAAAAAAAAAAATTTATTGTAGGCAATAATCAAATACTAAGCTTATATACGTAATTTACTTAAAAAGACTTATTTTTAAATTTATAGCATAATACATAATGTGACATCGTAATGAACGTAATACAATTAACTTCATCATCATCATCACCATCACCACCGTCATCATTATCATCATCAACTCATTATACATCCGACTGCTGGTCGGGTTTAAGCCATATTCCACAAAGATTACACAATGTGGATTGGGGACTTCACATGACATTTTCCAAGTGTTGTGAACCTTCTAATAACTGCCTCCGTGGCCGAACGGTTACCAGGCCGGACTGCCACGCAGAGGTCCCAGGTTCGATTCCCGGGCCGGGAGAAATGTTTGTATGGCTTACATTTATTTCTCTCGTGAGTTTGGGTGTAATTTGTGGTTGTCTATGTGTGTGTCCATGGCACCCGTGACACAGGGTTTCCCTAGTGCGGGGCTATGTTGAGTGTGTGCGTTATTTATTTATTTATTATTATTATTATCCAACACACAAATTTCGTCACGTTTTCACACACTGTGTACGAGAGGTAACGCTACTAAAAATTCACCAACGTACATAATTTAGATTTTTTTATAACATCAAGTAACGGGACAAACAAGTCGTACGCGTGATGGTACGCTACACGCCTATCCATAATAGTTACAGTGCCACTCAGAGCTTTAAATTGCAAAGATTTGAGGGGCACTACCACTGTGCCCGTCACCCTGAGACATAAGTTGATAAGTTCCATGTGCCTGTAATTTCACCAGCACCTTTACCCTTCAAAACCGGAACATGGTAATGCTGACAATGCTGCTTGGCGGCAGAAATAGGTGGCAGTAGTACCCTGGACGAAGTCTTTCACAAGGAGTTGTACTGCTACTGAATGTAGATATTAAAGACGTGCTGACAAGAAGCGACGGCCCCCCATTGTCTCTGTACAAAGTCATCAATAAATTCCAATTTCTTATATATATATATTATTTCTACTGTGACATAATCTATCTGTCACTAATCGATAATGAAAACGTATAAATTTGCTCTCGGATTTTTTGTTAAAAAATTAACATAACTAGATAGACATTGCATAACGGAGAACCAATTTTGAATAAAGTTTTTGAGGAATTAATGATGAATTTGCATTCATTATTGTTTTCTTAATAGATATTTTGGATAGAAACTTAGCGTTGGTTGTAAGTAATGTTGTAATAAAAGTTTTAGAAAGCTTTGTGAGTATTATGCATAGACCACATAAATATGCCTATTTCGAAAGCAAAATAATTTGCTTAATAAAGAGTCACCATTTTGGTACATAAGGTTTTGTCGCGAAAATTTTGTCTATGCTCAGTATTGACAATGCTGACGCAATTGTGCTTCCAGTTAAGTAATGATACAAAAAATTTAAAAAATATATTACATACTTCTGAAATAGACATAACAGCATTATAACCGTTTATCCTGAATTTTATGTCTAGATTGAATTTGTTTGTCACTAAAAAGTTTATAGTTATATTTATTCATCCAAGAGTAATCTACTTTGTAACGGACAAAAGCACTTTACCGCGTAAAAGTAAAAAAAGTACGATTTTCAAAATTACTTTTCTTTTTAAACCCGCTCCGAAATGGCACCGGCTTCAGAAACAAGTGCCTCGTACTCGCGTCATGTGGAACAACCGACATTTTTAGAGGCCAGCCTTCGCTTTCTTTTTAAAAAAAATCTTGACCACTGAGTTAACTTTCATTACGTAACCTCAATACTTTTTTTATAGAGCAGTTTTGTATACCAGTATTATTTTTTTCTTTTCATCGCCGAGATGTCTAGTCTGATACTTTTATTTTTCGTTATTATGCAATGTGTTGCAATGTTAGTGGGTTAAACCAATTCATTAACTAGTTTGAATCGTAGATTTATCAACTTTCGTATAGTATGGAACGTAATTGATCGTATTTTAGAGCTTGTTTTGTTAAGTAATTATCACTAGTGTTCTGGGTCATTGCCCCCGGAGGAAATCGTTGATTTGGTACTCAGGTTCTTATAATTCAAGGTATTTTCTAGTTTCAGACCCGGTTAATTGGTATGATTGCCTGGCACATTTCTAAGTTTCTAACCGCGGCATGACTCTTAATGACAATTATATAGTAAGTAACCACGAACGTATTGAATTCTATATTGCTGTTTTACTTTATAAATTGGATTTTATTGAATAATATCTCTTTATGATTCTTTTCTATCTGACAGTAAAAAGCGCATATTTTGAAATTAAATGTCATCTTACAAGTATTTTTGAAAACTCTGGTTGTTTTTCGATCACGAAATGCTTTATAACTTAGAGTATAAATTTGTAATAGTAATAAAACAAAAATTGTCTCGGAATTTCTGGTACTAACAAAAAACACATGTAGTAGTAAGAGAATCCAATATATCTCCGAAATTCTGATGGTATTACAACAAAAGTTGTCTCGGAGTTTATAATAGTAATTGAACAAAAGTTGTCTCAGAATTTCTGATAGTAATAGAACCAAAGTCGTCTTCCACTTTCTGATAGTAGTGGAACAAAAGCCGTCTCAAAATTTCTGATATATGTGAAATAAAAGTTGTCTAAAATCTGTGACAGTTGTGACACAAAAATTGTCTCATAATTTCTGATGGTAGTAAAATAAAAGGATAAAATAAAAAACAAACCCATTTCCTTCATTCTTTAGGAAGTAGTAAAATAAATAACAAAGTAAAATCACTTTCAGTTAAGTATATTGTACCGTAATACAATGATTGGAAAAGTGATTTGCAAGAAAATTATATGACGGAGACTCATTGTCTGTTAGGTTTCGTTTTCTAGTAATATTTTCTTCTGACACGCTTATTATGGGACTGGGAATATCTTTGAATAGTGACTTTCAATCACAGCCTTGCGAGCACCGTTAATGGATAGATGTAAATTGATAATATCTTGGATTTAAACTTAATTACATTCAGAAGACCAGGAACCTAACATCAAGGGAAGATGGAGTGCACGAAAGGAGCTTCCCCGCACGACGTACCATTCCTTTCCATTACGTCTGGTGCACCCTGGACTACACTCGGTGAGTACCTTAGGTCGATTGACAAATCCTTTCTCTACGATGGTAATGCTTAGGTACCTTATAATGTATGCCACTACACGAAAAGAAGACAACAGTTGCAACAGGAGCATTGAATAACTACCAAATTATGATATTTATTAATTTCATTTTAAATATTCTACAATTTAATTCTTTTACAGCATCGTGTAGTTATTAATTATATAATATTTAAAAATTTGGGAGCTAATACAAACACCGGTCAGCGTCTATTGCGCCGTATTTCTGGGATATCTAGTTTTGACTAAATTTAAAATTGCCTAGATTTTGTTTGACAAATACAAAGGTCTCACAAATATTCATTGATGGCAGGGTTAATATCTTCAGATTTTTAAGTAAGCAACTCTCTTGTTGACTTATACCAAATATTGCCCCAATACCAATAAAGCCCTGACACATATCTTGTGAGACACCAAGATTAAAGACAATGAAAAAATCTATTGATATCGAAAATCCAAGATCCTTGGAACAGTAATTACGTATTCGTTATACTAAAATGTTATATCTGCATAAGGACAATATTGTTCAAATTAACCTCGAATTGCTAAAGATGACCACCGCGGCGATGCAGCTTGGTAGAAATATCCTATTAATTTGAGACAAAATTATCACCACACAACAATAGCCAATAAATCTCACTTCTCTCAGCGAAAGCGAATAGAATCGAAATGACCAACACTATCCGATTGTTATTAATGTTTGTTAGGTATGTAACGCACTATAGCATCCTATGTTACTCTTCAGACGTGAAAGTGTTTTTGTTTTAAACATATATAATGTGTCAGTAGCAGTAGAGATACTTGAGGAAGAGCTCATCCAGGGAAGCAATGCCACCTTACCCCTTTCTGCCGAAAAATGGTGATGTGAGCAAATCGCATTCCGATTTTGAAAGGTGCTGGTGAAATTATAGGCACATAGGACTTGCCAACTTATATTTAGGCTCCGAAGTAATTTAGATCAAATTAGATAAATAGTTAATGTAGTGTCATGTCTGGAAATCAAAGTTAGGATGCTGAATACTGATGGTTGGTTATTACTCCACCGACAAGTGCCGTAAAAAAAGAAACAAGGAGGCACCGCAAATATCGATGTCGATTAAGCTTGAGGCGGTTATATTTTACCACACTTGTCGCATTAAACCGATAAGCCATCAACCCTGCCGTCGGTTGTTGGCAACGCCGTGCCGCTATCGTCTCGGACAGTGGGCATATAAAATGTGACCTTCGTAGTCTTTCGGCCGTCAACGCCACTATTTGGGCGTTAACGCTATCGTTTGGGCGCCGATCAGTCGTCTTCGACTGCGTGCGGACAGCGATCGGAAATCTCAGGAAGCAAATTCTTTGCCAAACTGTGTCGAGTTGCTTTGTACAAGCCGATGAGAAATGCACAACGTCTTTTCGCTCGTTTATAAGCTTTTTCTTTTCTACAAGATTCTAATACTCTAGAAAGAAGAAGAAGAGTATTAGAAAAAATGTGAGACCAGTAAAGCGTGAAACACACTGACAACGGGTGCGGGTCGGGCGCGTGTCGGGTCGGGAGTACAGCAGGTGTATTTATATGGACGATAACATATCATGCGCTGGCTCGGCACGGCCGCAGGTCGGGTCCCGTTGTCGGTGTGTTTCACTATTTACTGGTTCGTTTTGAGGCAGGAATAAGTAAAGTGGCAGTACTTCCCTCGACGAGCTCTGCTCTTACTAAACCTTCTTCCTAATATCCCAAAATAAATATATATATACTCGTTTAAAGTCGTTTTTTCTTTTAACTAAATACTAAAAAACTCACACCGTGTTTAAACTTCGTATGAACTGAATAAATCCCCCCTCTACAAATGCTAACTATCGGTTAGAAATTATGTTAACACAACACCGCCGTGCTAGAATTCTAGATGCAAGTTCCATGGTGTTCTCGAAGGAGAGAGGCTATCTTTGTATTTTATCTAAATTAACAGTCTATGGTAACTTACGATTCAAAGTACCTGCTTTGTAGAACGTTTTAAAATAGAATAGAATTACTAAGAAATACGTCAAAGAAAATTCTAGACAAGGAACTTTAAATATTACCAGTCCGGGCATGAGGTAGATTGCATATCGGAAAATATATATTTTTTTATGATACCACATAACGGGACGAACAAGTCGTGCAGTTATCAGTGCCTATTAGAGCTTTAAATCGCAAAGATCTGAGTGGCACTGCAATGCGCACGTCACCTTAAAACATAGGTTCACAGATCCCATGTGCGTAAGTTCACCAGCAGTCTTAACCTTGAAAACTGGAACGCAGTAATGTTTAGATTACTGCTTGGCGACAGAAGTAGGTGAGGTGGCAGTATTTCCCTGGACGAACTCTTTCAGAAGATTCTTAGTTAAAGTCTTAAAAGACATATGTAGCTTTCAATTCGTCAGCAATTAGACGTATAAAAAAGTAGCTACTAAAATAAAGCTACTCATAATTGTGATTTCACACATTCCTTTAAGGATCTCAGATTCCGATATCGTATTTGTAGACATACAATTTTATCAACATAAAGTATTGGCAATCTTTACTAAAGAGTGCCATTTGAAATTAAGAAGCTTTAAATAAAAACCGATAAATTCAATAAACTTCGATTCTAATCGACGACTGTGGTGACCCAACGGTTGATACTGTGGGTGCTGTGAGTCCAGGGTGCAATTCTCGGTAGGACCAATTTGGGAAATGAACTTATCTAAAGTGGTTCTAATCTGGATGTTCTGAGACGTGCCCCAGAATGAATTCCGTTGCTCTGGTACTCATAATACAGGGAATTTCATATAGTCGTCCATTTAATTAGGTACTAAAGTAAATGTAAACAACATTGAGATGTCTATTTAACGAAATACACATTTATAAAATGATTTTTACTTACCTTCAAATACAAAATACAAATACTTAGCTTCATATTAAATTGCAAGCCTATTTTTATTCCTATTGATCTATACAGTATGTTTCAATAAAAAGACGTATCAACATTGTTTACATTTAGTCAGGCACTTAAACAAATAGACTATAGTTTGAGGCAGACAATCAGTGTGATTGTCAAGTAAATTAATAAAATTAATTTAAATTGCTGCACGCTATGGTTGTTTTTTAATCTTCTATTAAACTAAGGTTTTTATATTAGGGGATTTACGTTACACATAATTCTGTAATTTGAGATTGTATAGTTGATTTGTTTATTTTTCGCTTAATTTATTTATGAACTTTGTATTTCTATATGCCAGTATTCTAACTAAAAACTGAACAGCGATCCTGGAGAGCTTAGTGTATGTTTGTATGGAATTTATTTTTATTACACAGGGTTCATACAGTTATTTTTAATGAACACGCAACATTTTAAAACGCCGACAAGCCTCAAATTAAAACCGACAGCTTTTTATTCTACTACTTTCGAAAACTTGCGATTCGAAAATTTGTTCTCGTACACATGCATTTGCTGTTATCGATAAAATATTTTCCACGAAAAGAACTATATCGATAAACTCTATCGATGCTCCGGAAGGAGAATTAACACTAAACAAGTCGACGCTGGAAAACAACATTGTCGTATCTTGCACGTTCAATATTGATGTTGTATAATAAAAAAAATATAGTCGTAACATCTTGGCCGTTAGACCAATAAATGCGGATTTTTTTCGGATTCCAAATATGTAAAAGAGTCATTTTCTCAATTTTTCTGGATAAGACATGATTGCATGCCATCGTCGATGTGCATCTATATGACAGAAATGTCATTTTAAGCGGCTAGAAGTAGGTACCTAATAAATTTTTATACAGGTTGGATTTTGTCAATTGTTGTATAAAAAAATTTGTTTTTATATCTTTTTTAAACATCAGAAATTATAAGTATTATGAATTGGTAATTCTGGGAATACATGCAATGTCGTAAATCTGCTTTAATTAATAATTTTGATAAAACAAACCTTAAATTCTTTCATGAAGGAGGAATTTCGGCCAAAGGGTGTCATGTAACGATGTTTCCGAGGCCGGCTACCGGACACCCACATTGCGTCACACGTCGCAGACAATACTTGTAAGTAATTCGTGTTTTATTATATTGTTATGTATGATAGTCTATAAGGTATGTATTTATGGGTCTTTGTTACCTAGAAATAAATAAAATAAATCAAATAACCGCAATTTGAAACAAAAATTAAGTATATAACAAAATTATCTAATCGTACCATTAAGTACTAATAACTTAATGAAGCCACATGTCAAAATTGCTTTTGTCACAAAAAAGTCATAAAAATAATTACGAACTTCAGTTAGTAGTAGATAGTAGATTGAAATCTTTGACTGTACGAGTATACGGTAGTTTTGTAAAAATAATATAAATATTAAGACGAACGACGCAACGCCAATGTCCAGTTGAAGAATAAACTACAGGGGTTATAGTAAATACTTCTTCTTTATATTGAAGATGGTCAGCATCTGTCATTGTGTTGTCACTTGCATGTCCCAGTGACATCTCAGTTTTTATTATTTCTAAGTGTATTTTATATTAACACAAAATTTTTAGTTTTCTTTTCAGCACTATATCTATTCTACACATGTCTAATTACCTTAAAAAATACTTAATTTCCCTGACAAACATCTTCAAAGAGACATCTTCTGCCGTTTTTGGAATATAGTTCCCTGAAGGACGACTAAATACACATACGATAGCTTAGGCTATTCTTCTCGTGTAGTATCCAAACACGCGCATTGCCATCAGTAGCATTGCAAAAAGTCATAGATGCAGTTGTCAAGGTTCAAATTCTATCTGCTTAGACATAAGATTCAAAAATGGCAATGGCATGGTCTGAATATAGTGTAACAGATGCAGCCAAAATATCAGACTCCATTACAGTTGCAGCAGCTGTGATAAAGGACTCGATAACAGATATTGTTACAGAAATATTGACTGAACTTGCAAAAGAACGATTAAACGATGATTATGTAGAACAAAAAGTACTTTTACTGGGTTCAAATGCAACAAATATAACGAATATAACCACCTCCGACTTTGGTTAGTATGTTCAAACCACTCAGCAGAACACAAACGTATTCCCTATTAAAACTATATCCTCCTAAGAGCCAACAAACTACAATGAGAAAAGCTCTAAACGCCCAATATACATTCAAAATATAATTACATGCTTCAGGCCCGAGCTAGTATACCTTCAGTTTTGTATGGAAAACGTCTAGATACCTTATGGTCACATCACCATCATCACCATTTCAGTCTTGAATGTTCCTGAGACCTCGTTTCACTCCTGCCAAACTTTCCGGTCCCGTTTCAGTGGTCCAGGTTTTGTCCGCGACTTTTATTGTGTCATCGACCCATCGTGCAATTGGATGACCCGGATTTCTTCGACCTGTCCTTAGCCACCACTCCGTCAGAGCCTTAGTTCAGCGGCCATCATCACATCTAACCAGATTTCCCACCCAATTTCACTTAACCTTCCAGCGGTCGCGCGCGGTCTTAAAGACTCCAGCGACCTTATTTTAGTCATTTTACAAAAACTGTAAACAATTAATGGTTGCGCGACCTTGATATCCTCGAGGGGGTGAGGTACTTCCCCTTAGTATCCCTGTGACATTCGTCGCAAGCGCACATGTATTTTTGTTTGCGGTCTCAGATTACGGGCGTGACCGGTCTTATTCCAGAAATTTCATGGAATGAAATTGAAACCTGGTTGAGTATTTCATGCTATTTGCATAGAATCAGAACGGCTAGCAGAGATGCTTGATGATGTCAAACCATTGCTACTGATAATGAGTAGGTTATCGTACTACTTTATTTTGTTTTCCTTTTTTATTTTATAAGAATTGAGATAGTACGTAGAACATCACGAAAAAACATTCAAAAATAATTGTGATTTTAGAGTTCCTACAATATTGTGCAATTGCGGACAATATTGATTGATCTCGATAATAATCTATTATAGTGTGCTTATGAACGACTAAAATAGAAAATTTCATCTTGTTTTCTTATTTTGTTGATTTTTAACCGACTTTAAAAAAGCAGGAGGTTCTCAATTCGACTGTATGTCTTTTTTTTGTATGTATGTTACGCGATAACTCCGGTATTTGTGAACCGATTTTGATGATTCTTTTTTTGTTAGAAAGAGGTACCCACCTCTATAGTGGTCCCATTAATTTTGAAGAAAATCATCCACCTCTAAGGGTGGCTGTTCACGCATGAGATTCATTTTTATAAATAGCGCCAAATTTTATTCAGGCGTTTTTCTCTAGGTAGGCCCCCGTTTTGGGGGGAGAGTCCCCACATAACCCCTGAGTCTCCGTGGACTTAGGGGTATCTATAAAGATTTACCCCGCCAAAAAAAAGTACACAATGGTTGAAGAGACGGGTCGTCAGGCTTTTGCTATGGTCACCTATAGCGCTAAATTTGAATGCGGTATTTTCATTATATGTCGCTATCTCCAAGATCCTGATCCCCGGCCGGGTTAATACAGAAAAATAACTTTTCCATATAGTCTCGGACCTGGGTGTTTGTGGTACCGTTGTAGTTTCTGATTTCCATAACACAAATGGTTTAGTTACTTACTTTGGGATCAGAGCAACGTATGAGAACAACTTATTTAATGTACACTTGGCATTTACATGATCATAGCAATAATATTGTCTGGGTCTGTATCACTTCACATATCATGTACATTTAGATGCACATGGGGCCTTAGGAGGATAACAGTAATTTTTTTTTACAGTTGTGGCGTTCACTTACTTCCGTTTGTTTGCCTCAGTTATGGTTATATTAATAGCTGCATTCTTAATTTTCATGTTGATTATGACCTTTTTTTGTACATCATTTTGTGAGATGGCATTCTGTTCTTGGTGCTGCTGTGGACGCCACGTACCTAGTTAGTTCAAATTCTTTAATCTATTTGTTAATTCTGATCATTCTACTCAGTCTAGTACGAAATTAGTACATAGTAGTAAAGTAGCGGTAGTACTCCTTATTAAGGTGTTTGTCCAAGGAAGTATTGCCATCTTACCTTCATGACGGCGTTCCGGTTTTAAAGGGTAAGGGGCTGCTAAAATTACAGACAGGCACATGGGAATTGTTAACTTAAGTGTCAGGTTGACGGGCGCAACATCAGTGCCCCTCAAACCTTTACAATTTAAAGCTCCGAGTGGCACTGCAATTGCCATTGACAGGCGTGCCGCTTACCACCAGACACTCGACTTGTTCGACCCGTCACCTGACATTTCGGCATCAGCGGTAAATATAAAACGTAGTAAAAAAATGCTGTGTTTCATCAACCATTCGTCACCTTTTTTCACATAATTGTGATCCAAACCGCTAGTCAAAATAATCATTAGTAAATAACTAAATTAAATGTAAATGTCAAATTAAATTTCGCACGTTATTTCCATAAAACTTAGAGGTGTGAGCCCTGATTCGAACCCACCTCTGCTTGAGAGGCAGTAGGTCAAACCATAAGGCTTACACGGCTTTTTTACATTGTTATTGGCATTGTTTCTATGTTAATTAAATTAGTGCACTGAAATTATTTTTGTTTAATTTACAGGTGACGAATGTCGACCATGTGAAACTCAAATCAAAGAACTTCCTTGGAATAAATAACACACATTTCTCCGTGAGGGTTGCACATAGAAATACATCCACTATCAGAAGATATTATTTAAAAAAAACACCACGCTTTATAAAAAGATATTCATCACAGGAACCCAGCAATAAATAAATATTAAAAATTGCCCACGAACACTTTTTAAAATTTCAAGGAAAACCTACCTAACAAAAATATAACGGAAAAGGAAAAACTTTCAGTAAAAAAAATAAGTAATTATATTTTAGAAGAAAGAAAAAACAGAAAAGTTGATGTTAAATCTGTGGTTCTAATGATAAGGGGTACAAGTCTAAAAAGCCAACTTTACAAGGAAAGCGAAAAACACTACGCTTAATATTATTTACCTATAAATAATACGCGATTTACCTTTTTTTATATTTGTTTTGTTTTTTCAAACAAACAAAATAACAAATTCATTCAATAAAATAATTTGTAAAACTCAATGTAAAGACTGTACCACCTCAGTCAACCGTGGCTATGGGACCTGTAAAGGGCCCGAATCGTCGGTTTGTTTGAAAAAAAGAACAAATATACGCGATTTAAATCCGGAAAAACAGTTTCATTTCCTATGTTTAACAATCGCGAAAACCTAAGAACTCGATAATACCTTAAATTTAATTTTTCAAAGAAATTCCAATTTACACTATGTAGGGTTCACAATTTTTTTTTTTAATTTTTAATAAATCTTATTTAATTTTTAATTAAAAATAGAATTTAGAATAAATTGAAACAATATATAATATTAGTACTGCAGTCTTAGGTTTGCATGGGATTTTTTATCAGAGGAAATACTGGATCTCAAACTGGTGATACGGAGAAACCATCATCTCTAGAAATTAAGATGTTTTTTAATTTCAATGGCCTCTCGCAGCATCCTGGGTAGATAACTTCTTTTGCAAAGACCTGGGGTTTGTCGAACTTGATTGAATCTGTACTTTTGGCCAAGATATGCTCGCAAAACAGTTCCAATTATGTACTTTGAAAAGGATGGTAATGAATGGTTAACCCGTCCATGAAGAGTGACAGTACGGTTTACCCCATTTTATTAGATGGATTTCACAAAACAATTACGTTTATACTTTTAAAAACAAACTAATAGCACATGTTAATGCTACAAAATGCACCTGGAGTCATTTTATTATGGAACGCACCCAGAGACTCAAAATCCGTGAAGACAGAGCGAACTTGAAAACGCAGTAAGCATATACCGTGTTATATTTTTTAAATGAATTATGTTGTATTTATTTAAATTGCGTACACGTTTTTTACACTTTTTACTTTCTTTTTACTTTAATTTGTTGAAACGGGCATTTCGAAAAGGGTCCACTGAAAACCAGCGCTGTAGCTCCGATGTAGTATTTGCTGAGTTGGGCCCTTTTCATTGCAATACACTTTTGGTCATGTAGTCATAATACTGTACCTGTATTATGCTGAATACATTTTTAACTTTCTTTCTTAATTGTAAGCATAACAATGTGACAAAATTCAGCGATTTACACTTTATATTTTTGAATTTAAGCACTCAGCATAAAAACTAGTAAGTGACATTTTTATATGCCGTACTTTTGCGTCCATGAACGGGTTAAAACCAAAATCTATGTACCTGAGTAAATCAAAATTTCAATTGATTCAGTCCTTTACCACTCTCCAGTACAAGTAGTTGATAAAATAATTGGAGGAAATACGCAACAGAAATATTCTTCCCAAAGGAAATTATATTGCAACACATCCATTCTTAAACCTTTTCTACTTCTAAGTAAGCCATGGGCTATAGTGCTGTCCTTGACCTGGCGGTAGAAAGTGGTCAGTTCAGTACAGATTCCACATCCTGCTATCTAACCGTCAAATACCATCACTGGAATGTGTATTGTTGACTTACTTTACAACTCGTGTTTTAGATTTCACGTGGGGTGCAGCGGCTATAGGACTCAGTAGCGATCGTAAATTATTCAAAAGTGTTAATGGAATAAAACCAACATAGAATTGGACATTATTAAAAACATTCCTAAGGTTGTAAAAATATTTACTTTTGAAACCAGCTTTTTAAATTTCATCTACAACGATCTGTGGAAAAATAGTGAAAGAGAAGTCGAAAACTGTTTTTGTACGTTTTTAACTTTTATTACGGATTGCACTTTTATAAGAGAAGGATAAATGAAAAATAAATGTTAATATAATCATGTTACATATTTAATAACATCAATAAAAGTTCCTTTGTTATGTCGTTTGTTTTCATTAATACCATTAGTAAAGTTGAAGCCTTTCTAATTCCAAGACAATTTCTTTACAAGCCGATATTGTAGCTAACCCTATCCTTATTTTTACGACACCAAGTGACGGGGCGAACAAGTCGTGCGCCTGGTGGAAAGCGTCACGCCTGTCCATAAACAGTAATGTCAACATTTCTGTGTTCCGGTTTGTAAGGGTACAAGGGTGCTGGTGAAATTACAGTCACATGGGACTTGTCATCTTATATCTCAGGGTGACGGGCGCAGTTCCCCTCAGATATTTGTGATTTAAAGCTCTGAGTGGCATTGCAACTGTTATGGACAGGCGTGTAGTTTAGCATCAGGCGGACGACTTGTTCGTCCCGTCACTTGATATTATAAAAAAAGTCTAAAACAACGACGGTACCACAAACAGTCAAACGAGAGACAATATAGAAAAATTTTTCGACATTGACCCCGCCGGGGATCAAACCTGGGAACACAAAGATGGCGACACTATGAAAAACGGTGTGCAGGCCACATGATCACGAAGGTCGTCCTTACATATTTTGATACCCTAACTTACCCCTATTTAGAGGTTGTTCGTTTACGAATACGTGTTTATTTTGTATTTAAAGTATCTTAACCAAATTTAAAGCAAATAGCACCTCGCGTTAAAAAAATTCCATACAAACTTCGATACCCCATTTCAGTCCTATTTAGAGGTAGCTTAAAAAATGTCACGTCAATCTTTTACCATTACCGTTACAAAATATTTATATCAAGCATAAATAATTTAAGGATTACGAGTTTTCATACAATATTTTTACTCTTATTCACCCACTTAGGTAGTGAGCAGGGTTTCTTAGGGGTTGAATTTCGAAAAATCCGTTCTTAATGCGCTGCTATACTACATTACTACTTATTTATATAGATTGATGTTTCCGGACTGTCTTTCGTTATACAAACTGTGTATATGTGTATTACACAGTCAACCTGCTGATTTCACTGTTGCTTTTACTCATTTTTACTAGGTGGCATTAAAACAATAATATTCCTTGTAGAAAGTGGACAGAGCAAAATTCTACGAATCTCATTTATCTCTTTCTTGTTGACTCATGATGATGTTTGGCTTACAATTTTATGACCAACTACAGGCGAATAACCTGCTTTAATATCGCAAATTGACTTAAAATAATTCTAGACCCACTGTTTTTAATGCACTTTTTTACCAAAAAGAAATTTTCAGATTTTTTTGCACTGTCTATTTTGACGCTTTCTAGGTCAGTATTTGGTACTTCGTTAATATCGACAACTTAGAAAAAATTCCTTCGATCCGGCTGGATTTGAACCAACATCTTCTAGCAAACCGAGCTAAACGCTGTGTGAACTAAGCCACGGAACGAACCAGCGGACTACGAATTTCTCTATTTGTTGCAGATCTTTCCATTTTGTTTTTTAACGACTTTTTGCTATGGAGCCATCTGTGAGAAGTCTATTTCTTCACTCAGCCAGTCAACCTTTACAGCTATCGGTAGCTGACTAGAGATGTCGCTTTAATAATTGTAATTAAGTTTATTTAATGTCAATGTAAATGTATTTGGTAGTTAGGTAGTAAGTTCAAACGTGTAAGCTTCCTCTCGTTTCATCTCATCCTCTGCGTTTTTCATCGAACGCTAGTACTTCCCTTTGTTACCGCACATAATTATCACCGTTTCGAGCGATCTATTTAAATATTTTTAATTTTGTACAAAAGTAAAATCTGATGTATTAATTAAAAGTCACAAAACACTTTTCAGCCGGGCACTTACTAGCGAGCTTTAACCGTAACCGTTGTATGTTATATTATCAAAAATCATAGAGTATACATGGTTCGCCAGTTTGCCACGAGCGGAAAGCGTGCAGTTCCCAGTGAGCCGTTGCTAACCAGGTACTCATTCTAGCGATTGAAGACTGTTCCACCCGTACACACTAGAACCTCGTTACTGTATCTGTCACGTTACAGTTCGCTAATGAGTACTCGCCTTTAACCTTTACTAACCCTAAAACTATTCAAGAACCACAGATGTCGGTAGCGTGTTCTATTCCTTTTCTATACGCATTAGGAAGGAAGAGGCGCTTTGTGCAAATGTGTGGTATGTGAACGACGTAAGGATAGAGTAGTAGTCTGATCTGGCTAACGCGCCGCGAACGTGCTGCATGTACGTGCGCTGCACGCGACGCGCGATGTACGCGTGCTGCATGCGTCGAGCGAAAACAGGCGCATTTGCGACGCATTCACCTAATCTGGACGCACATTAATAAAGTCATACGCCAGAGAACTTATTTAACTGCCTACGTGACCGAACGGTTACCATGCTGGTCTGCCACGCAGGAGTCCCAGGTTCAATTCTCGCGGCGGGAGAAATATTTGTATGGCCTACATTTATTTATCTCTGTCATAATGTTTGGGTGTAATTTGTGGTCGTCTATAGGAAGGATAAATTATCTGTACTTTTTAGTCAACCGAAGAAGAAACGATGAGGGTGCACCTAACTTAAAAAGTTCCTGCGCACTATATCCGAAATGTATGGGAGGATTTTTAATATACTTGTTTGTCTCGTCACTTATGATGTGACAAACCAGTCGTGCCTGGTGGTAATCGACATGCTACCCATAACAGTTACAGTGCCACCCAGAGCTTTAAATCTGAAAGATCTGAGAGGCACTGCCACTGCGCCCGTCACCCTGAGATATAAGTTGAGAAGTCCAATGTGCCTGTAATTTCATAAGCACCCTTACACTTCCAAACCGGAACTCTGTAATGCTCACATTACTGCTTGGCGGCAGAAATAGATAAGGTGGCAGTACTTCCCTGGATGAACTCTTTCACTACTGCTACTACAAATTTTCATTATCATACGAGATTTAGGAGCTGTTTGTTAATATGAGTCTAGATTCTGGTTTCTAGGTCTTTGATTATTTATTTCAAACTTTGTAGTCTACGCCGTTAGCTTCCCGATGCAATAGCCCAAGAGAGGAGCTTTTTTAAGTTTATCGTCCGGTTGCAAGACCTTCGTGTCTTGTCCAATTTCAATTAAAGTTTGTTTTAAATAGTTTTTATATATATCACAAATTTGTATAAAGTAACACTTCTCATTTTTAAGTAAATCTGTTAGGCAGCTTGAAATCAAAATCGTTCACAAATAAAACAAGTACTTAAAAATCGGCAGTTAAAAACTGCCAATACTAATTGGTCATGTCTCATTAGAAAAACATCTCTATAAAAGATTTGTAGCACCCTAATTAACGTCTTTATTATCTACGACGTAAGTAGCTTATCGGGTCAGCAATATAATTGATGTATCCGACCATAACAAAGAAGGTACAGCAGTTGATATAGCATCATAAAAACGTAATACGCTATGGCCTATTTAAATTTACATGGAAACTTTCACTAGGAGGTCGATGACTTCAAATCGAGAGAAATGTTCATACAGAGGCATCTGTTCCTTATAAGGCATTGATTTATTAGATTCATTTGAGGTTATAGAACCTCGGCAACCTTTGACTTAAGTCTAATTTTTCAAAAATGACAGGTACACTAATACATAAATTATCGGTTAAAAATTGTGATTTACTTGTCACAGACCGCCAGCCATATTTGTTTATCATTAACATTAACTGTTTCTGCTGCCGAACGAGGACCAAGGTGGTCTGCCACTCAGAGGTCCCAGGTTCGACTACCGGGCCGGGAGAAAAATTTGTATGGCCTACTATGAGAAATAAATTTCTCTCGTGAGTTTGGGTGTAATTTATGGTCACTTGTGTGTGTTATTATAATTATTGTCTTAAAGAAATACTGTGGCTTTATATATTTTGATTTTGTTAAAAATTTTGGATGACCTCAGTATCCAAACAGTTTGCATTATGGGCGCCCGATGCGGACGTCTCGGGATCGATTCCCGATAGGACCAATTTGGGAAATTAACTTTTCTGGATTGGTTCTGTGTTCCGAGTCGTGCCCCGGAGTGAATTCCGTTACTCTGATACTCATAGTCCAGGAAATTCCCTAATATGAGACCAGACAGTTGGTGGGGTTATCTGGCACATTTCTATTATTATTAAATAAATACTTATATAAACAACAAAATACGATATATGCGTATTAGATTGCACAACACTTGTAAAATCTAAAACTGTATTAAACATTTTATGAATTGACAAAAATACTTAGCTCGTGGTAGTTACAAAATACTCTCTTTAAAAAAAAGATTTTGAGTAAATAAAAAGAATGAACTAAACACAAGGACATAAACACAACAAAAAAACACGTACGTGTGTGTATACTTCGATACACTTCATTGCCAAAAAATCGAAAAAATAGGTCACCACTTACAATTTCATCTATCGTACCATTGCAAATATTTTACATAATTTTTTGGCAACAATGCATATAGTTACATTATGCATGAGTGTCTGTAACTATTCAATGTATGTGTGCCGGAACGGATGCATGCGACCATGTGGCGTAATGGGTGGCGTATTTGAATTTTGGCGAAAGTTGTCGTAAATTTGAGAATTCATCGCAGTTAGACTAAATTCTTTACAGCTGAGTAAGTATTTCGAAAATATCCTAAATAACATGACAGTTGAAAGTGGAACACCACATTTTGGTTAAATAATGTAAGTACTTTGAAGTATTTTAATTTGTTCCTGTGTAATTTTTATATTTTCAATAGCATTTTTATGAAAAAACTGACCTCTAAAGTTCGTGTGGTTAAATCATTTGCCAAATTTTTTTAAAATTGGTTAGCGGAAAGTGGGTGAAATCCAATAAACTGGATTCATCCCCTAATTTACCACCCTTAGAGGTGGAATATTTTCTTCAAATTTGAATAGGACCACTACTGATGTATCCTCCTTCCAACAAAAAAAGAATAATCGAAATCGATGCATAAAATGTTAGAAAACTAGCGTAACATACACACAAAAAAATAATATGGTCGAATTAACAGCATCCTCCTTTTTGTTAAAAATATTACAACATTTGCAACTTTGTACAGATGTTTTCTACTAATTCCTTCTATTACATTCTTTCAGTCAATTTTTAGACACTAGCCAGGTATTCATGAAGACTTACGAGATGAGGTAAAGCGCAATAAAATATTTGCTCTTATAATTATAACAGGGGTTAAATTATGCAGTCGCCGTTCTATATGTTATATATAATAACATTTGTTGAAACAAAACATGGACCCATGCTATCATGTACAATTTTGCTATGAGTATAACCTAATTTACTATTTTGCTTAAGATCAATAGTTAAGGGAAATCCACAAAACCGTGGTACTTATTTTCGACTGCTTCTTAGGAATAGAATTCTTTTCATTCTAGATAATTTTATTTACGTTTTTTATACACTGAGCTTGACCTTAAAGTTCAATCACTGCGTCTATCGTTGGCATAAAAATCCATTTTTCACTATAAGAAATGATACGGTCTAAAACTTCTTTATCCCTGAGTTGATGCACAAAACAGCGCAAGCTTCAATGTGCATGGTCCCGTTGTAGTTTGTATAATTCATCTGGTACCCATTTTACTAGCTTTTTTATTTTACCAGTCAGTATTGCGGATGTCAAACCGTGTTGTTAATTCCTTCGTATGGTTGCTATGTATCAGCTTCTGTAATAGCAGGCAACTCATTCTTCGGCTTAGCTTTTGGTCGTCCATGAGGTTCATTTGCTGTGCCCGTAATTTCACCAACACCCTTACGCTTCGAAACCGGACATTACTGCTTGGCGGCGGAAATAGGTAAGATGGCAGTACTTCCCTGGACGAATTCTTTCACAAGGAGCCTACTGCTACTGATATCTGCTCCAGAGATTTAACAATATTCTTCTTATAGTGCCGATGGCATACTCTATAATGCCTGCCATAGTATTGAAAAACTTTGCCAATCGGCGTAAGGTACTCGCCAATTATTATCCACAATGCGCCAGACTTGTAGGAAAGGAATGGTACGTCGTGCGGGGAGGCTCCTTTCGTGCACCCTGAACAGTATAGTTGTTTAATTTTAAAGGAAATACAAAATTAACAAAAAAAAAGAAAAACGCCAAAATTGGAATTCTGAAATTCTCTTAAGATGTTATTTAAAAAAGTTTCTAATCTGAATCATACACACAAAATACATTTGAATTTAGAACGATATGTATATAGAAGCGAGTGCGTGGCAGTGGAAATGGCATCCTGTTGATGTTTGCCCATCAAAACGACGGGCAAACGTCTTCAGATTATACAAGTTTAAAGTTTTGGGTAAAAAACACTACTGGTAAAATTAAGTAATGATTTGTGCATTTGCCTAATTTAAATATTTTAATTTTTGGAATTCAATTATTTAATTTTTTAACTAATTTTCAAAATTACGCATTATACTCAATACTTATGTACAATTACACATTAAGTAACAATACTAACATAATTTTAAGGCTTTCTTTTGTAAGTAACACCATTGGTGGGCTATGGCCTGAAATAAATGGTTCATTATTATTATAGAAATGTTTATCCAGTATACATTCGATTATTATTCATCCGACTGCAATAAAACTTTAATGAGTAGTTACAACCACCAAACTTTCTGAAGTATTTGAAAATTTTAAATTATCATGTGGGCTAGTCATTTCAACAAAAGTGTCTAAAATGACGGTTTTTCTGCAGATTCACTTCCGAAAAAAAAAACAAAATCCGAGTACAGTTACTTTAAAATAAAATGACCATCGAGTAACCAACAGTTTATTGATAACATTGGGTTATGAATAAATTAATAACATTAGTGAATTGACTGGAACATTATGTTAAATTACGAAAATATAAAACAATGTTGGCTTATATTTACATTGCATTGAGCACCTTTTAACTGAGACTACAGAATAAATATGAGATCCATACAAACTAAGGCAATAACAATAAATGTAAGATTTAAAATAATACTTGGCTTTTTCAATACATCTTGGATATTTTATATGTAATATACTAAATAAATGCATATTTTATTTACATATGTACATGAAGATATAAAAATTATTTGTATCATACTATACATATTTTTTACATAAACGTAATTTTATTTATATATTCAATGCATACGTTAGTTTAAATACATATTTTTACTAATATTTATATTTTGTAACACAAAAATATGTAACATTTACCAATACCGACAATGTATATTATACTACTTATATATGTACATACATTTATTATTATACTTATAATAATACACATACATATAATACATAATATAGAAAACGTTAAATAATCAACGGGCACTTTTCGGCAATCGAATAAATAAATAAATTAAAGCAAAATCCAAAGACTCACGTTATAAATACACCCATAACACATACATACATACACTTATATTAATTTCTCGTTGGGTTTAACTATACCTTTCAGTAATTAAGAGTATTGTGGTACAATATAAATACTTAAAGAAAATCTCTTAACTAATTTTCTCATGAATCAGTCTCAATAAAATCATGTCCATACTTACAAGCCATTTGTCGTCAACCCGATTTAGAAACGAACTGCACAGTCCAGAAAGTATAAAAAATCCCGTCTGCACATTTTAATACTGACCATGTTTTATTGCACTCAACTGTATATTTCGTTCTAAATACGGATTCAAATCTGATAAGATTCGAAAATGAAATGTTCTTATTTCGAATTTGACTATTTAAATTTGGAACCGTGAATATCCGGATTCCATAATTCATAATCTCCGGATGTTGTTGTTCGATAATCATATGAAACTGTATATATACATATATTTATATTTATGTAGTTTTGTAGATGAGACTTTACGATTTTTCCCTTATTTTGCAAATAAATTAATTATTTGGTGGTATTGTTGGCTACTGTTGTGCAGGAGCGTACGCGTTGTACGCTAAGTCTTGAGCCTTCTCCATTGACCTGGAAATAAAAAAAATATTTTAAAACATAAAAATGTACCTCATATATCAAGATTACCGAAGTTACGGAAAGAAAATAATTTTATCAGTAGAAATTAATTTAAATAATCAATAGATTCAGGCGTTTATTTGCGAAAGTCCATGTTAATAAAAAAAAAATCGTGCAAAATAGGGTGGGAAAATTAACTGTATGAAAAAATATTCAAAACAAGCTCAGCTATATTGCACGATTTCACTTACACTGGGTTCGCAGACTAGCAAATTAATTAACTTCCATTTGTTACTAAAAAAAAAGTGTTTCGAAGTTTAAAAAAGCCAAAGCTAATAATACTTAAGTAAATTAGATTTATTGGCAAATATCATCCGCATTATCACTACTGGATCTTACTTACAGTTGTGGCAGAAAACGCTCTTTACATACTTCGACTCTAAATTTTATGTTCTATATTTATAAGGGACGATACGTCTGGAAACGTAACATAGCTTTGAAAACTCTCGTACAGGGTCTATAACACGTAAAACTTGAAATTTTTTTTAAATTCAACTCTCTGCCACTTGCAATATGAACAATCCAAAGTCCACAGTGTCAAGCTGGATTTGCTTTTGACCTACGATAAAAAGCTGTATTTATGTTAAATAAACAATATTTCGAATAGTTAGGCTTAGATACTTAGGTATAGGTAAAAACTCTCGGTGGTTCCAAACCCTTACCTGCTCCATCCAGAAGCGCTATGTCCTGCCGAGACAACAACCTCGTGAGATTCATTGTTGCCGTTATGGGAAAGCAGTTTCTTCAACCCAATGATACCGGCGAGCACCAAGGCCAGCTTAGACACGATCAAGGCTTTGCCAGCGAGAAGGGCTAAAGCACCAAAGGCCAAAGGCACCATGAACCCTCCGATCAGAAGGGGGATGGCAAGGAGTGGAGCCAGCTTCTTGCGACCGCTACGCTGCCTGCCTTCTTCACGCACTTCTGTGCTAGAAGGGAATTTGACCTGTAAATAATTGAATAAATAGTTAAATTCCAAGAAGTCGCTATACAGACCAGGCTCAATCTACGTTACCGCGGATGGGATTGGAAGTAAATTTTAATAGATTAACGTGAAAAATAAATACGCGCCCATAAACTGGTCGCGCGCCTTCCGAAAAAATCTCGCGCGTTTCCTTATTACACAATTGTCATTGACAATTGACAAGTTCATTATGCAATATACATACAATTTCGTTACAAAAATATCCTTCCCGTTCCGTTCCGCAGCGATATAAATGGAGCCTAAACCTTCAACTTGACCACTTAAGTGACTTTACTAATGATAAGTCATATAAGAATATTCTTAGTACCATTATAAAGTTTTTCATTAATATGACCTAGCCAATAAATAAAAAAGTAAGTCATTTGAGAACATGTTAGTAGTGTTGGCCGTGAAAACAAGTTACGTAGTCTGGTTTAAAAAAAATATTAATTCGGCAATGAACCTTATAAGTGATATAATAGTTGCATACCAGTAAGTTATAATCGTATCGAAGTCCTCTACGAGCGAAAATTAACCTATCCCGCGTTCCATTTCAATGACCATGTCGTTATGTAAATTTATTATAAAACTATAAGAAATGTGTTTTGGCTCAAAAAATGTATGCTAGTTCCTGTTCCAGGAAAAAAGAAAATATCATAAATATAAAACAGTGTTTTTGGTCATTATAGCGTTCCGTATGACTTTATTACACCGATTTCCTGTATAACACACGCAATAAAAAAAAAGTTGTCTATTACCGGAAGCTTACTCTAAAAAGTATAACATAGTGATTGCATCATTTTGAAGAACGAGTTTAGTTTCTATCATAGATGAGTACGAGTTTCTATTCCTCTTTTATAAGTTATGTCATTCAATGTTAATTTTAAATGATACTTTATATTAATTTTCTTTCTTTTTGTAATTTATGCCTACATAGATTAAAATAATTTAGTACTGTTCGGAATTATACTGGATTTATGCGTATAGTTAAAAAAGTGTAATTTAGTAATCAGTTGCAACTCGTCACCAACGAAAATGGTTTTTAATAGTATGTTAAAACTTCACAGTGTTTTTATATTCCATGTCAGTATTAAGTAATTTAAGCGAACTGAATAATCTATTGTAAAATAGTTCATTGAACTTTAATTAAAATCCAACCAAAGAATAAATCACTGTTCTTTCATTGCATTGTCATTGATTTTGAAAATATTTAATCTCAGTCCAAAAATTCATGATTGATTAATTAAATTGAGACTAACGGGTCTTAAAACCACAAACTGAAAGATCGTGAAGATAAAATCTATGCAACTAATTAATTTTTCAAATGCCGTGATGTCAAACTTGCAGTATGCAAGCACGTTCTTAGTATAATAGCTTACATCCTGTTAAAGACGTGTTTAAAGAAATTGGAAGAAATCCAGCTAGTCATATTAAAGACAGCACGTTAACAACTGTCCACCAATTAACAGAAACCGTTATTAGAGCAAAGTAGGCCGGTATAAGAAAACTGTTTAATAGAGTGTGACCGGCGAAAAAAAGTGAAGATGCATTAATTGCATGCAATTATAAAGATGCAACTGAGAAAGCGGTCACGGTTACCGATGCGAGGTATGTGATGACTTTTTATACCCGCAAAAATCAAATGAAAATCTATATCGTGATTAACGAGAACGATTATGTAAACATGATTTAGTTTTTGCATACATTGATAGCAATTAGTTTGTAATGTTGGAACTTGTAATTTGATGTTTCGTGAGATCGTTACTAAAGATTTTTTAGACGAATTGAGCAATGTTATTAGATTTTTTATCGTTAACCATGTGTCATTTGATGAAGTTGAATTTGAACTATTTATTATAGATACTGCATCATTTACTGCGTACGACAATAAAAAATAAAATACAATGGCAGTCTTCAAAAACGAGTATTTAATTTGGAAGTAGTATAAAGAAAACATTGGACTTTGATTTCAATTATAATTTTGTAATGTATTCTTTCAGACGGTTTATTTTTGAACCCTAAATCAATAGAAATTTATGTTCAGTGCTATAAAATTTTACATGATGAGTATTGAAACCTAGTTTGCAATAAAAGGCACACTATAACTAGTGTATTTTTGAGGGGTGACCGTGCTGATAACAGTAGTATCCCAAACTATATTGAATAGTTTACTAATTCTAAAATTAATTGAACTTCCGAGTTCCTAGAATTTGGACTTCGTAGATTTTTCTTATTTATGTCAATAAAGAGTAATGCGTCATACTTAAACTGATATAACCTCACAACAATATACTAGACACGGACAGATTTTAACCGCATACTCACTAGTCCATGGACAAACATATCAGGACATTTATTTAAGGTTTTTTTAATGATAACAAATTGACGAGACGAAAAATTGAGCATGTCGCTTTATACCAAAAGCGACATGCCTGATAATGGCAGTTACAATGCTACTCAGAGCTTTAAATCGCAATGGTCAAAGGGACTCTGCCGCTGCGCCTGTCACCAAGATATAAGTTGACAAGACTCGTGTGCCTTTATTTTCACCAGCACCCCTTACCCTTTGAATCCGGAACGTTCACTCGGAGGCAGAAATAGGTAAGATGGTAGGTAGTACTTTCCTGGACAAGGTCTTTCACAAAGAACTCTACTGTTACTAATATTGTGTCATAATTGATCATGCGATATGGAAATTCTTCTCATTGTAAAACTAACGACGTGGTGTTTTTTAGATCCACTATTATTACTCTTATTTATTATAGACTTATTGGTAAAAGATGATTTTGCCAATGGTTCTAAAAGTCTATAAAAATGCAATTTGGTAATAATATAACTTATATTAACAACAGGTGGTTTTAATACCACCGACACTAATTGTCTGCCCGTCTAGTATCCCATTATAGCTCTAAACGGCAAGCTTTATATCTTTATGCTTAGCATCATGAATAACAATTGCTTCTATTGTGTATGATCTAACATTACCGTCATTACTTATGTCAATTATGCCATTATCATTACTTATGTCATGTGATGTAAGTGAATTTATGAGTTCTGCATATTTTGCGACCCCTTTAATGGTTAAGGTCTTAATAAAATGTAGAAAGATATTGATGTACTTTTTTTGTGTTAACTGGGACTTGAATCGTAGCTATTATAGTAACTATAAATTTAAGGTCACTTAAGACTAATTATAACAGAGGAAAGTTTACGCAATATTTGTCGTATCATTAGTGTGACGAAAAGAAATGATACTTTAAAAATACTAAGAAAGATGTTTACACTCGTCGTAGAGAATTTCTAACAAAATTGCAAGAGATGGGAAATTAATAAAAATAATAATTACTTACTTATCATTGTTACTATAAATACTGCTCCTTTTGCCAATAACAATATTAGTGTAATAATATCAAATATATCACCATGCTACTGCACAGATAAGTTACTATGTGCAAGCATTAAAAGAGTAGGTCCGGTATCACGCACTGTAATATCACAAAGTGAGGCTTATCCTATTGACCAAATATCATTCTATGAACTATTTATGCGAGTATTATGATATTCGGACAATTATTTCTGCTCACTTTGAATATTGTTAGTAATGTACATATATTATGTTAATAAAAAAAACTAGGATTGTTTTGAATCAAAGAAAAGATTTACCTGGACGGAATGAGACTGGAAGAATCCAACGATTTTGTCCAAGATAAGGTTGTCCAACGAGCTCTCATCGAGACCTCTAGGAATCGCCTCCTCCACTTCGCTATCGATCTTCGCATCTTTCTCCTTCACCAGTGTGACTCCACTTAGTAAGGAAAGTTCCTCACTCTTCGTTAATCTGTTCAATGCCCTCGCTAACTTCAGTTTGAGGCAGGAGGAGATTTCAGTTGCACTGCAGTCTTTGTAGGTTTCGTAGGCGAATTTGAGGTCTCCTAGAACGTTGTCTTCTGAACTCCTGGCCTCGTTTACTGTATTCTGATTGGTGGAGGCTGTCCTGGCACTGACGGCCACAGCAAGAGTGAGGATGAGGAGGTAGTGTGGTGACATTTTGACGTCGTCTGCTGCCGGTGCCGTACTGTGTTTTGAAGTGGAGCAACGGCAGCGTTTATATGTGCTTAGTTTCACGGTACAGTGGACGCTGCATAGGGATGCGTCGATGCATTTATTCAGTTTGAACAGTTGGAGAAAAAATACCACGTTTTAATTCTAAAAATAATATTTACTGCAGTTACCTATAATATAAGGTTGGTAACGTGGTACTTTTAGATAATAGATATCAAGAAGTTTCTTACTGGCGAAAAACAAAAATATTCAACATCTATTACTGTCAATTCTCATAAGATGCTAAATTTCTGTGAGGCTTCATATTTTATAAGACTGTTCTGTGCTTATGAGTACGATTAAGTACGAAAATTTGATGATGCTTAACTAATAGTTCAGGAAATCACCATCTCATCTGAAAAGAAAAAAACACAAAAAAATTTTGGTTAAATATGACACGAACAGAACCTAGAACCTATTGATCCTTGATTTTGAAATCAACTGTTTAGTAGAATAAAATCTATAACATATAATAAGTTTTTTGTCTGACTGTACTTTTCTCGTAGTTGTCAAGTGTACAGACACATCTAGACCAAATAATGATATAAATGATTCAATAAATCATTACCAGTATCAGATTTATAACTTTCGTCGTACAAATCTAATAATGGAAAGACACATCTGCAAAATGGCAACAGTTCAGAAGAAAGTTTACAAACATAAAAATTCTACGAATGAAATTAGACGATAACTTTTATACTTAAGTATGCGAGAAACAAATTTCACGTTATACATAATTTGTTTCACGTAGTTTGATTTGTTTTGATGATTTTCATGTGATAAAAGCTCTTTTAACTTATTAATCACCCGTGGCTTTATTATACCAACGTTAATTTACAATAAGATAGCAGCATACCCAACAAACCCAAGACCTTCTCATTTAGAAGGCAAACGGTTGAGTTTTCATCTCAATACCCTTTACACCAATACATCTCAGCTGTCAAGTTAGATGCAAATAGCAGTAGCTCCTTGTGAAAGAGTTTATTATTTCTAGGGATTATTACCTAGGAAAGTACTGCCACCTTACCTATCCCTGCCGCCAAACAGTAATGGCGTAATTTTAAGCTTAGTTTCCTCTATCTCTACCTAATTGCGTTGAAAATTTATATAATGTAAGTATTGCCACCGAAAACCGAAACTAGCGAAAACTAGCCTCAAAATTACCCAATGTGAGCATTATTGCGTTACAGTTTTGAAGGGTAAGGGTGTAATTACAGGGCGAATAAAGGGCAATGAATTACATCACCCTTTATACTACAGGCACATAGGACTTGTCAACTTATGTCCCGGGGTGACGAGCGCAGGGATAGTGGCCATTAGATCTTTGTGACTTATAATTGGGATTTGAGCGATACAGCAACTATTACGGGCGTGTTGGTGTGTTACCACCAGGCCACCAGGCGCAGGACATCAAAATCAAAAATCAAAATCAAAATAATCTTTATTTCATAAGTAAGTATTATTACACTTGAAATTGTCACAATGGTTAAACTCTCGCTCATTCGTAAGGCAGATTCTCCTGAGAAGAATGGGCAAGAAACTCTATGGGATGCTCTTTGGAAATAACATTTTTACACATTCAATATTTACAATATAGTTTTTTGTTTTCCAACATCAAAGATTGAGACTACCTCCAAGAGTTAAAAGGATCACTACCACGAATTTTTATAATCGTAGTACGCAGAAGTACTTTAGTATAAAGTTTTTATTTCACTATAGTTTTAAACCTCGTGAATGGCAAATTTTGTGTATAATCCGGAATCTTGTTATAGAAGCTTATACATTGCCCCGTAAATGAATTTGTTACTTTGTGAAGACGACTATCAAGAACAGATACGTTATTTGTTCGTCCCGTCACTTGTTATCATAAAAAAATTGTATTATGACGTCAGAGACGCTAACCTAAAAAGGTTTGGCTATTTGTAAAGTTTTCTGGGCTTATTTCCGACTTATTCCAAAATTTCCTTCAACGTAACCTGACCACGTACAGATCTCTGTATGTGGTCTGTATCTGTAGTTATAATAGTCTAGGTCTGGAAATGGAACTAATATGGGCACTTTATTACTGCATTTCTCTCTTTATAAAGATGACCTGAGCCGAGAATTAGGACATGTAAAATTGGATACAGTTTGCTACACATGGTATTCAAAATCCTTTCTTCATTCTATTCTATTATACCGTCTCAGACCTTCTCAATCTTTATTATGTGTTGTGTGAATAGTTTTATAGTAATATCGTTTTTATAAAGCCACCTGTAATGCCTAGATAATATATCTATAAGACCAGAAACCATTAATTTTCTTTAAAAGTAATTGCGTTAAAAATAGCTCAGTCATCAATAACGTACACGTTTGTTTTATACACGTGAAATCAATTACATTTTTTTTAAATTGAGCCCATAATCATGAACAACAAATGCTACTACTTTCCATTGTGAGGGACATTTGTCAACTATTAGCGATAAATTATACGATAAAATTATCATACGTCAAAAGTGTCAAAGTCAAAAAGTCATAAAAATAATAGCAACTACATGAAACCAATTTTGACTGCCTCTATGGCCGAACGGTTACCGTGCCGAACGGCCACACAGAGGTCCCAGGTTCGATTCACGAGTCGGGAGAAATATTTGTATGGCAAACATTTATTTTCTCGTGAGTTTGGGTGTAATTTGTGTGTGTCCGTGACACCCACCACACAGGGTTTCCCCAATGCGGGGTTGTTGGATGTGTACGTCATTAAAAAAATATATGTGCGTGAAATGTTATAACTTTCCTATTTAAGCATAAAAACATTACGGACCAATTTCGTTCGTAGAATCTTTAAATATCTCTCGTGAAAAGTTATCATATTGCAGTTGTAGCTTTATTACAACAAGGGTGCCATATAGGTCTTCTAACATTAGTTTATAAATTATTGTATAAGATATAAATTACTGACATTTTAATTATCTAAAATTAATTATTATGATTAGTAATCAAACGTCATTAATAGACCAATACATGATTAACACACGAACAACCGTCTTGCTTTCACTACAAAACGGGATACGCATCCACGTTACAGTTTCGAAGAAACAGAATTTACATCCATTACAGTTCACTCATAAAGCTATTACAGATCTTCAATGAAGCCTGTAAGTAGGTAATAGTGATCATGAAAGGCCAGAGATTAAATCTCAATAAAAAGTCGACAAAAACAAGCGTTTACTTGCACTAAGTATGCGTGGACGCAGCTAGACCACAGGAGCACGCGTACTATTAATGTGAGTTACGTTGGCAGCTACCTGATCTTCTGTGAGTACTATCATGAATTTGTAAGATTATTAAGAGATTTGTATTTTAAAACTATATTTTTAGGCTTTATATTTCGTAGCCTTGGCATAATAAAGCCATATAATAGTGCCATAAATCAAAAGTGCAATATTTTTAATATATTTTACATTTATATTTAATATTTACAATATTTTTCACTCGCAAATACGCTGTAAAAAAAAGGAAAAAATACTACGAAAGAAAGACTATGGTATGCAATCGACATTTGGCATAGTCTAATTACTAGCCGGTCTGTCCAGCCATCTCATTACTAAATTAAGCTTATTTATAGTTGTATATAAACCGATAACAAATTTAATCACCATCGAGCAACTCGACATAGAGATCTGTACATATATTATAGCACACTTTATGTTTCCTCCGATGAGTAAGATTCTTCTTCAATTTTTTTATTCTCCTAACATCAACTTTATCCACCACAGATTGGAGGACAATTTGGCAAGTATCAAGTTGGTAGTTTTTAAAATTGGAAGACTCTGCAGAGTAACTTTTTATGAAAATTAATAAGTGTTCGTATATTCAAAAATAGAAGATAGAAAACGGCCAGCAAATTTCGATCCATTTGAGTCTGCTTATTGCATGTTCTCTTTATATGTATTATTTTCAACCAAGAGTGCATTGTTTCGGATCCCTGTTGCTTTACCTTTGGCTTTAACTTCAAATTGCACTCAAATAATTACGCTCGCTAATGATGAAGGAAAACTTCTTGAATCCTGTATAATAATAATAACGCACACACTCAACATAGTCCCCACTAGGGAAACCCTGAGTCGCGGGAGCCATGGACACGTACATAGACAACCACAAATGACACCCAAAGTCACGAGAAAAACAAATGTAGGCCATACAAATATTTCTCCCGGCGCGGGAATCGAACCTTCGACGTCTGCGTGGCAGTCAGGCATGGCAACCGTTCGGCCACAGAGGCAGTTAAGTATATCGAAACAGATGCAAAGGTGGTCCACAACCCTTGTAAAACGTGTAAAGTCACCAACCTACATTGGACCAGCGTGATGGACTGTAGCGAGAGGGGTTTCTCCTCTTATTAGAGCGAAAGAGAGTGAATTAAATTTATAGAACTCAAGTGTGGCTCTGCTAACATAACACACACAGCAGACATACTGAATGCCGTTGATCGAATGTGGGGCGATCACGCTAACTGTGATCACACTTCGTATTACCAAGTTAGATGAGTTGAAAAAATGCGGGTTGGCAAGTGCGATGAATGTTTATTCATAGGACGGTGAAGCCTGTAGTTATGAAAATGGTTGACTATATTCTCATTTAGCTCGTAATTAAGACGTTCTAGTTAACTTTTCTGTTAATCGATATAGGCGGAGTATATTTGCTTAGGCTTCAAGTAATATGCATACAATGGACTGAAAAGTAATTTCCTACGACTATTTCCAATTCAAAAATAATACTGGCCACTATGCGTATTTGTTGCTTGTCATTTTTTCAAAATTAATTACAGTCATTTGTTTATACTTTGCATGTACAAAATGGCGGAAGAAAAAAGCATTTTTTAACAGACCCTATCCAACTTTTAAAGTCCTTCTGTAGCAAATGTAAAAAATGCATTTCCTTATTACAGGCACATGGGACTTGTCCACTTATGTCTCAGGTCGCTTACCACCAAGCCCACGACTTGTTCGT